CAAAACATCATTCCTGGTGAATTAGTTCAGCTCTTCTTGCATTACTTGAATCCAGAATTCATCTCTTAAGGCCTGATTTATACTTTCTAATCTCTTTCGTAAGTCCATGGCTAGTTCTTACACCTTCTGAAAGGTCTCCTAAAATTAAATATTTAGGATGACTAGAAGAATATCTCCATTCTCTAGGCAAATCTTCCTGAGGTTCTATCCTTTCTCCTAAAGTCATAGTCTCTACTCCTTGAATTGCCTTTATTTCATCATCTTTAATTTTATATTCAGAGGGCATATCTGATTCATTAAATACTACATAGGTGGACACTTCTACTACTAGGGTTCTCTTATTAAAATTTTTATAGGCCTTACCTACAGATGAATAACCTAAGAAGACACCCTCATTAGACTTGGGATCGAATTTTCCTAAGAGAAGTTTGTCATTAATCAATATGAAGCACTTACACCCAAAGACATTTAAGTGTGAAAAATTCAGTGTCCTACCCTTAAGGGGTTTTATTCAGCTTAGATTTAATGTTTACCCTATTTAAAACATAACATGCTGTGTTGACTGCTTCTGCCCAAAAGTATCTAGGAAGGATGTACTCCGCTAACATTGCCCTAGCGACTTCTACCAAGAGTCTATTTTTCATTTCTGCTATACCATTTTGTTGAGGTGTTTTACGGGCTGAGAAATTATATTCTATTCCAATCTCTTGACAAAATGATTCAAATCTATCATTTTGAAACTCTCCACCATGATCGTTATGGATTGTTGAGATTTCACAACCTAATTTTCGTTGAATCCATGTGGAGAATACCTTAAATTCCTCAAATGACTCATTTTTATGTACTAGGAATCTAATCCAAGTGAATCTAGTGAAGTCGTCTACAATCACAAATTCATAGTTTTTCCCTCCTAGGCTAGCTGTGCTAACGGATCCAAATAAGTCCATGTGTAGGATTTCTAATGGCTTAGAGGTGATCACATCTTTAACTGAATGAAAGGATGATTTGACTTGCTTTCCTAGTTGGCAAGCATCGCATAAATGATCCTTAGTAAAGTCTAACTTAGGTATGTCTCTAACTAGATTTTTCTTAGTGATATTTCCAAGTGTTTTCATACTAGCATGGCATAGTCTCTTATGCCATAACCATGAGTCATCAACTATTATTTTTAGGCAAAAAGAATTTGAACTATCAATGCAATTAAGGTCTAACATGTAAACTTTGTTTATTCGTTTTCCTTCTAAAATAAGTTTTTCATTTAACCTAATCAGGCATTTGTCAGACAGAAATTTAATATCAAAACCTTTATCATACAGTTGACTAATGTTAAGTAAGCTATGCTTCAAATCAACTAATAAAATATTTTCAATTAAAAAATTCTTAGCATTACAACAATACCTGAGCCTATCACTTTCCTGTTAGTGTTGTCTCTCTCAATGTTACTTTGCCTTCAGTTCTGGTCTCCAGTAAAATGAACTTCTTCATATCTCCAGTCATGTGTCGCGAGCAGCCACTATACAGGTACCACATGCTCTCGTTAGGTCTTTTGTGAGAGCATCCTACAATTTCATTTAAGAATTAGATTTGGGAACCCAAGTGAGTTTGGGTTCCTCCTTATGCTTGCATGAATGAGATGTATGCATGCTATGCTGTGATGGATACACTTTAGGTCTCCATACTAAGTGTGTTATACGGTGAATTGTGCAAGTGCGGGCTATGTGACCTAGCATGCCACAAGAGAAGCACCTAACACCAGAAAATGGGTTTACTAACCTATGTAGGTGGTGATGCCTCTTCCTAAAGTTGTGTGATGCAAGCTGTGTTGAGGGATTGCTAGACTGGGCTAATGTGAATGATGCATTTTCTTTTTATAGTTCTTTGATTTTTTCTTTAAAAGTGTTGTTTTGATATGTCAATCCATGAACTTCTATTTTTAACAAATGCTCACTGTGATCTACTTCTAATGCAAGTTTGTCTAATCTATCAAAAGTTTTTTGTAGTTCAACATGAGTAATTTTCAAGGTTTCATGTATTTCAGTTAGTTCAATATGCTTCTTATTTAATGCATTATACTCATCAAGAAGTAGCATATGATTTCTATCTAAATCAGAATTTTCTTTGACTAAGTTAGCATGCTTAGTTTGTAAACAACTAAACTAAATATTAAGACTAGCATGCATCTTTTACAATTTCCTATATGAGTCATGAGTTTTTTCAGAAATGAGCAATAAATCTTCATATGAAAGTTGACATACCTCATCTTGATCCGATTGATCAAGATTATCGTTAGTCATTAGACACAAATTTGTTACCTCCTCATCTGCTTCTCCTTCTGATGATTCTGAGGCAGAGTCGGCCCAAAAAGCTTTTTGTGTCTTCATTTTTCTTTCTTATACTTAGCATTGTCCTCGCGCTTTTTGCGTGCAAGTTCCTAGTTTTTGATGAATGAAAATTTCTTTTGTTTTATGATCTCTTAGTGAGTTCTTGACTGAAATCCCAAGATCTCTTAGTGAGTTCTTGAGGAAGAAAGTTTCAGTTGATTCCATCATCTCTCTTTTCATTCTTTCTTCTCCCCACCGCCCGTCCAAACGCCTCCCAAGTTTCACTCCCCTCTCTCTCCCCTATTAATCCTCCTTTAATACACCCTTAACTCTTTCCCTCTTAGACTAATTTGAAATTTGAAATTCTGAAACTGAAATTAACCCTCCATATTTTTATAGAAATCTGAATTAAAATTCAAATTTTTATTTCTTTTTCCCTAGCCTCACCCGCCCCCCATCTTCCTCCCAAACCGTGACCCCACTCCTTCCCAAACCCACGGCTCAACTTGCCCAAGCCCATACCGCCGGCTTCCTCCCCTCTTCCTTTTTCTTTCTGTTCATCCATCAAATTCAATTATGCATGGCGGATCTCGAAATTGATTGCGGATTGGTATTCGACGTCTACGGAGACATCCACATCACTCTCTCATAGTAGCTTAGATATATGTATATAGATTCCCCAACACTTGAGACATGATCAGTGTTTTATCAATGGTGAACTATATTGGAAACTTTCACAAGTGAGAGAGGAAACTGAAATTAACTCCTTTGGATGCAACTCACAGCTAGTTTGCAGCAGAAATGTACAATTAACCTCAAGAATCATGATTCATTTTTTTATGGGTTCACATTAAAAAGTGACTACGTCTGCAATCTAAAGTATAGATTTCTTTTTGCGGCCAACCACTTTCACAATGGCAGTATTATATAAGAGAAAAGAGCTATGAAAGTGCATACGGATTGTTCTAAAAATACCAAATGTTCAAATTCAAGCACAAAATTTATTTCCAAGCAAAACTGTCATGATTGCAAGGTTTGAAATTTCACATAAGAAAATAAGGCATATTTTAAATCCAAAAAAATCAAATTCATTTTGAGGTGGAGAAAACTACATTTATATTAAACACAAGTTCGCAAAATATATTGGGCAAACATCATAGTGAAACAGTCTAGTACATTGTTTTGTTTGGATTTAATTTCAATTTGGGTAGCTATACAACTTTGTCTGTCTTCTTTATAGGATTATAAATATTTTTTTCTTAAATTATAGTCATTTTTTTATTGAATTATAAATGAGCTTCCTATTAGAGAAAACTCAAAATCCTACTTGCAAAGAAAAAATAATTTAGTATTCTAAACCCCCTTACCCCAACAAATATCAAACAAGATTTCAACTAGTTTTCTTGCACTAATTCCAGCAAACAAAGACTGCTATATTTGCCTCCATTAATCCTTCTTGTCTAATCACATTCTACATCAAAAACTTTCTCTTAAAAGTTCAGCTTGCAAAATGGACAAATCACTGATGCAATTAACGAGAATCCTCTAAAAAAACCTTGGTGTTACTCTTTTATCACAACAGCTACAAGACATCCCAATCCTCTATTGTTAGATCAATAAAATCAACTACTCCATTATCTTACCCATCTAGACGGTGATAAGAAATAACGTAAGAGTCAATCAAAAGCAATACTTTAAACTAAAATATATTCTCATCCACCTTACAGACGATATGCTGACAACATGCACTGATATCTCATGATTTCCAGGTTAAAAACTTAAAATTGATCCCATCTAACACAAAATCCCTAACGCTTTAATTAGGAATTATAATTTACATAGAAAGAAAGGTATTGAAAATAAACATTTGGTTTGGTTGATATTTAATAACAATGAAAGAAAATGGAAGAAAGACTTCATCTATACCAAGGATTTTAATTCACTCCGGAAATGAGGGAAAATAGAGAAAAAGAAATATACATACATGAAATTGTAATAATATCCAAACTATGCAAATTTTAATTGAAGTCCAAATGTTTATAACCGCCAAATCCCTAACTATCTATATTTCTTCCTATGAGGACGTGAAACTAATTATAATTTTTTCTTTCAATTCCCAATTAAAATGGGATGAATAATTCCCTATCCTCCCTTAGAACACCAAATCAAAAAGAAAAGAGAGTATACTCTTTGTTTCTTGTCTGTCTGTTTAATGATAGATAGTCTGAATCAAAGAGGAAGTAGAGTTAGTGTGATGCACCAGAGGTCAAATCAATTTTCGCATGAAAAAGCTCATGCTTATGGGCGAGTGTGACCCCGTTATACTTCAAAACCAACAATTTTTTTTTCACCTGCTGACTAAACGCAATACTCTCACATATCTAACGCATAGATATCTTTATTTTTTTTTCCTTCAACTCCCAACACAGAACTATAGCACAGGAAAACAATCCAAGCCCGAAACCATAAGCTATTTCCTCCATTAAAATAGCCAACATTAACACCATAGCAGCACTAATACGAGACAGAAAACCCAACCCTTCTGCAGCGCATTAATGATATCGACAATACAGAAGCGACACAAAGTATACCTGGTTCAAACCCTAACCTGCAAAACATCTAAAGATGGACAAGCATGAAAGTTAAAAAAAAAAAAAAAAAAACAAAAAGGAGAGGAACCTGCTGCTGTTTGGCGACCTGCTCCCTGAGTCTCGTCGCTTGCTTCCTGATTGCATCCATTCACAAGAACCCGGCCAACAACGACGGCAGCAGAAATGGCGGCGGAGGTCGCGGTGGAAGAGAGAAGGGAAACGGCGGACGGATGATGAAGGAGAGCTTTGCCTGCTCCAGGCGAGATCTGGAAAAAATCTGCAGCGGAATATTTTGGGGGCGTACAGACAAGCTGATTTCAAATGTTTCTACGCCGATTCCACTACAAGTGCTCCTTCACGGATCACAGGAACTTGTCTAATTATGGGCTGAAAGCCTTCTTTATGTAATTTGGGCCTCCATAAACATCAACTATCATTCTAACATGGGCTGATCTCTTTCTTCCTCTGCATCGTAAATACTTTAATAGGAACAATTATTAAGTCACCGAATGAGAGAAACATTCGGTCGCCGGCAAAAATCCCGCGGTACCGAGGTGTACCGAATTTTTTACCGAGGTGTACCGAGTTTTTCGGTACCGCGGGATTTTTGCCGGCGACCGAATGTTTCTCTCATTCGGTGACTTAATAATTGTTCCTATTAAAGTATTTACGATGCAGAGGAAGAAAGAGATCAGCCCATGTTAGAATGATAGTTGATGTTTATGGAGGCCCAAATTACATAAAGAAGGCTTTCAGCCCATAATTAGACAAGTTCCTGTGATCCGTGAAGGAGCACTTGTAGTGGAATCGGCGTAGAAACATTTGAAATCAGCTTGTGTGTACGCCCCCAAAATATTCCGCTGCAGATTTTTTC